TAAAGTGCAATGCAAAATTGTTTTGTATATTTTGTGCTGATAGAGCATCACTAAAAAAAGCGTGCATACACAGCCCAGAAGCGTTGGTTCATTCACAGACATGAACCAAGATAAGAAGTTAAACAAAACATGATAAGACATGACTGTACATTCAGATTTAAGAGAAAAGGGAAAGGTTCGCCTAGGATTCTAGTTTTACACACCTGCAGAATGCAGGCATCACCATCCACCTCCCCAGGCTTTGCAGCATCAAGTCCCCTAATCAATTTTGATTAATCATCACATAAGCGTTACTATACTTGCATTCTTGATATCATAATTAGTTAGCTTAAGAAAGAAACAAAAGAGATCAAAATTATTCAAGAATCTTAGTTGCAGAAAATTTTACTTCCAGCGTATTCTGTTTTTGAGCTTCTTTTCAATTAGACCAATCCCTTCCAAGACATTTGTTATGTCATATATCCGCCTCTTTTGCACCTGCTTTTATAAAAAGTCGAAAAACCTTTTATTTTTATTTTGATACATTCCAATTGTGCATATACATGTTAATCAAATATGTCATCACCTCTAAGGTCTCCGCAGCTTTGTTTAAGTCAAGAATGCCATCTTCAGCATGCTTAACCAGATTGATGAACTTCTTTGTCAAAAGACCTGAAAAGTTCTAGCACACTATTGTCAATTTCACCATATAATGTACCTTCACAAGATGCTGACTCCAATATCAATAGATAAGTACTTCAGTTTACCTAATGAACTGTCATAACGGCAGCTACCAGCTGGAGTAAGAGGAGCAGGGGAACCTGCAAACTCACAGAAGTCAGTTGTTACATTCTATCTTGGTAAACAGCACATCATTTGCAACAACTGGTCTAGACATTGGACTTAGTTTTCTGCACTAACACATATTGAAGCTGATGAATGGTGACAACTCATCACAGTTAAAAAGATGAGAGCCAAAGCTCCATACCAGCATTTGAAACAGGCGTTTGAGGAGCAGATCTGTTACTTTTTGAGGCCCTTGACCTGTTATTTGCCCTTCCTTTTGTAGCCACAGGTGTCTTAAACGGGCTATTAGATATGTTGGTGAGTCCAGGACTGGCACACCCACTAGCCTCAACTTCATTCTCACTCGTAGCAGTCTTCCTTTTTATTTGCTGAGAAATAGAAACACATTATTAGCATTTGTAGTAGACTTTAGGGATTATTTTGGTGATTAAAATTTAATGCTTAAAATTCTCAAATAAAAAACAATGAAAAATCTCAATGTCTAAAGAATCCGATTGTACTAAAGGAGATGGACAGAGCCATGCATGTTCTTCATCAAATTTCTATCAAGATATTCGCTAAAAATGAAATAAACTTCTAACATCTTGCCAATGAGGTTCACTCAATAACTTTCCAGATCGCATTTCCGGAAACATACAGTAATCTATACAACAATTGAAAAACTTCTAGTGAAATATATCCATGAGTATATTTAAAACTGAATATAAAATTCTTCTAAGGCCAGTAACTATCAGTTGGGACAAGAGAGTTTAACTTGAACTGCCATTCTAATAAATGTGAAATGTAGATAAAATCAAATACATTTAGATCTATTTATCAACACATTAAAACAGCGAAAAACAACTGTAAGAACCAGATGCCAGATAATTGGTGGGATGAAATTTGACACAAGAACAAGGTAGAACCTATGGAGAACAAGTAAGCAGGTTTGAGCAATTTGACTAACTCATTGCATGATAGAAGATCAAACATTTTGATTAAGTTGAACAAAGGAACCTCTATAAAGAGCAGAACGTTGTCAAATTGATAATCTGAAACCTACATAGCCAGCCACATAGAGATATTTTGCGTTGACAACAACCTCCCTTCATAATCGACCAGACCTTATGGGGCACAAGTTCCAGTACCCAAACACACTCAAAATTACTATAAAGCCATCTCTCTGATCTAAAGAGAAGTAAGGGAAGACAGTTGCAGATACTCAACAAGTTATGCCAAAGAATGAGAGGCTACATTTTATTGAGAGGTAATTTGAACCATTCATGCCCATCTCCTAACAATAGAAGGAGGTGAACAATGCTGAAACGAAGATCAAATTCAGTTCCTTAAGTTCTATGAGGATCAAATTTGATATACACGAACCCGATTATTTAACTAACAATCCATTTCTTAGCTGATAAATAGCAGGAATATTGTCACGCCAAACACTCGACAAAGGACAAAATTCCCAATTCGTCTAGTAACAACATCAGACCCAAACAAAACCAAAGCAATAACAAATCGAGAAAACACTCAACAGGAGATCTGAAGACTACAGCATCAGCTTCCCGATCAACGACTCTGCGAGTATTCATGCTGCAGATGTTATTATTATTACTAGCGGGAGAAGGAGAGAAACGGTGATAATCATTGGGAGGGACAAAAGGCGGCTTCGTCGAGGCAAACGCCAGGTGGCGCCGTATCGGAGGGACCACCGTTGCAGCTGCCGGAGCCGCAGATGAAGACGGCGGATGCGGCGGCGGATGGGGACGAGAAGACGCTCGAGCTCCGCTGGACATCGACGGATTCCCGTGAAATGCTGAGGACGGTATCGGAGGATAGAACGAAGGAGAAGGAGAGAAGATCTAGCGCGAGTAAGAAGGGTTTTAGATAGAGGAAATGGGATTAGAGGGGAAAGTGCTTGAGGGGTTAAGGGAGAGAGAGGGAGAGAGAGAGAGAGCAGAGAACGAGGGAAGGAGGGAATTTTATGTTCGGGTAGATGTGGAGGGAAGCATACAGCGGAAAATTGGAATATATTATTTTCTTTTTAATTTTAGTAATTATTTTTGTTTTTTCTACTTTCGACCCTTTTATTTCTAAATATTATACATTGGCCCCGTCAACTTTTTTTCTTATACATATAATATTTTATTCTTGTTCATTTATTTTGATAAATTTGAAATTCAATAAATTAAATTTGTTTAGGTGATATTATTTAAATTGATGAAAATTTATTTTTAATATAAAATGATTTATTAGGTGCATTGAACTATAAATCAATAATTATTTACCTCTTTTATAAAAATTTATTTTTTAAAATACAAAGTGCTAATATGATTGCTATATATATTCTGTGTAAATACCTTCATAATTTAAAAATATATCATGTTCCATAATCATAATAAATAAGAAGGCATGTATTTTTCTGCTTTCCTAAACGAGGGTATAAATGAACAAAAAATTATAACATCGGGCATTATTGATAAAATAAAATTTTAAAATGCCCATTAAAATTACCAAACAAATTACAATTAATTTAGTGGATCTTTCTAGTTTCGCAATCTGAATTAATTTGAGTTTATAAAATATAAATCACGTTATAATATTGGATCTCATTAACTTTATTTTTTAGTCAGGATTTTATTATTAAGATTATAAAACAATTTCATCATTTATATAAAACTGTTAAAATCTTAATAGAAATTGCAAAAAGTTTACATATGTATTATAAAAAAAATAACATACAGTAAATAAATTTAATAATGATAAGTTTTATAAGAAATTCTTATTAGTTAATTTATTTAACTCAAAACTATATAAGTTATATTTTAAAATAAAAAATAGGTGAAATTATTATTTCTCATATTCTAAATCATAATTCACATTTTTTTAAAATTATTATTTTTAAAAGTTATATTTTAGTATCATTTACATTAATTTATTGGAATTTTCACTGCACTTATAAATAAATTACTTAAAACTCTGTTTAGTCCAATATTTGTGACATTCAATTATATTATTACTCGGTAATTCGCAAAACAAAATAATAGTTTAGTCCAATATTATGTTTGTAATGATATTATTTGCAAATTCACTTTGATCTTAATTTAAAAAACTACAAATTTTTATAAAAATTTATAAACCTTGAGCATATATATATATAATATTTTATAAAATTAAATTAAAATTAAAATAAATTAATTTAAATTTGTATAAATTTACTCCCTATCGTTCTAGCTATGATTGTCATTATTAAACTAAACCTATGCATTGAATAATTTCAGAAATAATGTGGAATTTCTGAATCAATACTTTTGATTTAACTATGACACTGTGTACATTATATTATGACGACAATATATGAAATTCATTATGAAACTTGAATTTTTCTCTTTCGCCTCTTTCTAGATTCCGAACTCTAATCAACATTATTAATGCATTAATTAAATTTTGAGTTTAACGCGTTAATTAATTAATATGACTAGTTGTTTAGCTTAATTAATTATGCTTTTGATTACTAGATTAGGCAAAATAAAATCTTAACTAACAAATCTTGAAACACTATCTCTTAGTTCTCTCCCTTGGCATAAACTATGTACATGAACAATAGAATACAACATAAATAGAACATCTCAACCAGACCAGACAAAATCGACTGTAATACTATGTTGTTTTGTTTCTCAGTTATTGTTCTTATTGCATGGGCTATGAATCCAAGGAATGAAACTTAAACAACGACCAAATCACGTAATAATAAGCTAAAACCAACAACAAAGTACTATGTATCATGAACGACTGCTGCAATCCTTTCACAAACAGCAACCTAAATTTTACTTTCATCATTCAAAAGAGTGGTGGCCGCGGAGGGGAAGGCTGGGGTAGTCGTGGCGGCCGGGGGAAAGGCCGGGGTAGTCGCGGCGGTCGAGGGAGAGGTCGGGGTAGTCGTGGCGGCCTTTGTGGCTGAGGGAGAGGCCGGGGTAGTCGTGGCAGCCTTTGTGGCCGGTCTGAAGTTAAACGCGGTGACAGTCTTGAAGGTGGTCGTGGTATCCCACGAGAGTGCGCTGACACCATAACTATAAAGAATAAACTGAAACAATCTTCTTCTTGGTTTGAAGAGACAATGTATGATATTTATCAGGGATAGCTAGGAATAAGAAAAGGAAAACTACCGAGGGAAATTTATAGGCACTAGGAAAGGAAATTGCCTACATAGAAAAAATTTATACGGATCCTATTCGTAATAGACTATGTAGTAAACATTCCTATTCTCTAATACATACCAACTGCTAATATATATATATATATAAATATATATTTGTGTGTGTATGTCTCTGTACTTCAGTTCATCTCAAGAACCCACATGGTTCACTCAAAATTCATAATTCGGTCAGTTTCAGGATCAATATTACTACAAAATTAAGAGAATAATTAAGTACAAGAAAAGTCTTGGAACTCCTGGGTGCCTGTGTGTCTGTACTTTTAGTTCATCTCAAGAACCCACATGGTTTACTCAAAATTCTCAATTGGTCAGTTTCAAAATCCATATTACTACAAAATTAAGAGAGTAATTAACTAAAAGAAAAGTCTCCAACTCCTGGGTGCTTGTTTGTTCAGGGATCCAAAGCTGTTAACAGACCTATAAGATTCAAAATAAATTCTCAGATTGCAGAACCAAATGCTCATCTCATGGAACCAATGACATCAGAAGAATGCATCACCTAGCAAAAAGGAGCAGACGTTCATTGAAGAAAAACTCGTGATCACCCAAAACTTTGTGCTGACGCACTAATTTTTTACTCAAAACACTAATTTCTGTTTGTTTAAAAAATTTCCATTAGAGAGAAATACAATAAATCGTTCTATATAAAATCAATATTACAGTTTTTTGTACAAGACAAAGGAGAAGTCCTCAACGGCATAGAAGAGTTACAACATACCTCCAATCTATGGCGGAACTGAGCCTCATTGGTTTTTAATAACACAGGGAGAGGAAAACATACTCCTTTCTCTACGCAACATTGGTGTCTGGGTTTTATCCTATTTTCCAAGCTAAACGAGAAATACTGGGGGAATTCCTTGATTTCTTTCAAGTCCCTGCCCATCTCCACCACGAAGTAATTAATCTTAAGCTCGTAATTATCTTTAATACTGTAATTGAACAGCTGAGGGAATCTGCGGAACATGGAGATAGCCTCGCGATGAGAGAATCCGATTTTCTCGAAGAACTCTATGCGAGGGACGAGTTTGTTCTCGACGGAGCAGGAGAGAAGGGAGGTGTGTTTATGAACTTCAGAAATTCCGATGCTCTGGAGGAAATACATGGTGGGTCGCAGTCGGTACTTGACGCTGCAAGCTAATAATCTGGGTCGCCGGTTGATGACCCTCTTGAGATCGGAGCCTTCAACACGGGCCTCCCGAAGGAGGAAAGTAAAGACGGGGACGATGCTGGAGAGTGAGGAGGTGAGAAGCTCAGGGCACATGGAAACTATACGGCGTAGCTCGAGTGCAGTGAAGTCCATGGAGGTCAAGTAATCAACGGTCGATTTGATGTTACCGAGTGCCGCCGAGATGATCGGAGGGTGGTCATTGATGAGGGAGAAGAAGTCGATTCCAATTGAGTCGAGGTATAGCATTTTCTCTTGAAATTCCGCCTCTGGGTCGATTGCGGCGGTGGTGATATCGCTCGGGGGTGAGGATACAGTGGGAATTTCTGGGGTTCTGGGGTGTACAGGAGGAAGAAGGATAACCGCATTAGTAATAGTGGCGGTAGTGGAGGTGTTCGTTAAGGAGGAAAAAAGGGGAAAATGGAGGTTTCTCGGGCGAGAAAGTGAAGGAAAATCATGGGCTTGTTTGGATTGGTGGTGAGAAAACAAGGGAGGGAAGGAGGGGTTCTTGGGGAGGAAAGGGAGTGTGTCTTGCATTGTTACATGGCTGATTCTGAGGTGGAGCTGCAAGAAAATTTTCTTGATGGAAAATGCCAGACGATTCTGATAGGATAAGGCTCCAAATTTTCTGATTTGAAGATTGTGAACTGACCGCTATCTGAAATCCAAGATGGCTCAGGAAATTTTGATGTACAATATAAAAAAAGTGAAAATTTATTTTATGTTCATGGCGAATAATGAGAAAGAGAGAGAAAATTACGACATTGTCCTATATTTCCGGGTACGCAAAATTTGTGGACCCGGTAACCCGATAGAAAAACCGACAAATGTGACGAATCTCTCACCAAACCCCTCAAAACCCTCTCTTATCTTCTCGAACTCCATTTCTCCACCTTAGACTTGCGAGTGTCAGTGAACGAGCAAGCGTGGGAGAGAGAGGTAGAAATGGCGTGCACCGCAGCCTCAACCAGTCTCGTATCCTCAAGCCCTAGGGCTTTCTCCATCAAATCATCTCTCTCTTCCAAAATTTCCTCCCAAACTGTGTCAATTCCCAATTCATTCTCGGGTCTCCGCGCTCCCAACCACGCCCGATCCGTTTCCTTTACCTCCCCCGGCTCCAATCCTCGCAGGAACTTCGTCGTGAAGGCTCAAACCGTGAGTGATTCCTTTACTTCCTCTGCTTTTCTTGTAGCATTCCTTAGTTAATGCCGAAAATTATTTATTTCTATTGATTGAGATTATTTTTGCAATGTGATTCTTTTTTCAAGTTAATTACTGTTAATTTAGTGTTCCGGTTTCAGATTTTGCCCGAATCCTCCATATGTGTTTGCTTAGTTTTTATAGTTCCGTATGCTTCAGAATGAATCTTTTTCTATTTTTTCACTTGAATACTTTATAAATTCGGCAAATGCAAGATGCAATTTGAGCTTCGTTCTTGTGGTGAAGACAGAAATGGTTGATTTGACTGAAAATAATATCATTTTAAAATGTGGCCTTGTCTATATGTAGAAGAGTTTAGTACTGTAAGATTATAGAGTGATAATCTCGAAGGAACTTTTACTGCTCTTGTTATTAAACTCTTAAATATATATGGTTAAAACCTGCATATATTGTTTAAATTTATGAAGTTTTTAGTTCCAAAACCAACCTATCTATTCTACTTTCTATCTTATTCTAAGTACCTTAGATGGCCCATTGGCTTTTAGAAAAACCTTTCAGCAGCTTTCATCCAAGCCTATTGGTCTAATATCTTGGATCTTGTGGCTGGAGAATATTTTATTAGAAAGTGGTGGTTATTTATCACTCACAGGAAGGACGTTTAAGAAAAGGAAAATCCATGTTTAAATGACTATTGAGGTTTACTGGTTACAAAAATAGGCTGGTGCATGTTGTCAAATAATCCTTCTCTGTCTGAAGCAAAAATCCAGCCACATACTGTCAATTACATTTTGTGTTTTCCTTCTGTATTTACCTCATGTTGTATGTTTTTCTCATTGTTCTTTCTACAGAGTGAACTTCCACTGGTTGGAAATCTCGCCCCAGATTTTGAAGCAGAGGCAGTTTTCGATCAGGAGTTCATCAAGGTACATTACCTAGATGAATATGCTGAAGTATCAAATCGTATTAAAATATTGGCACATTAACTCTTTATCATGCCTGCACATGGCAAGCCCCAGTTTGCTGGTTGAAAATAGAGTAGGTTCAATCTATATGAATAGAAAAATGTTACTAAGTCTTTTCGGAAGGCGGTAGCATATGAAGGAGGCTCTGTTGTCCAACATTAAATGGTTCTCAATTTACAGTAAATCCCTAAATGTTATTACCTCAATCTTCGTGTTTTGTCCTTTCAGGTCAAGCTCTCTGAATATATAGGGAAGAAATATGTGATTCTCTTCTTCTATCCTTTGGACTTTACATTTGTTTGTCCCACAGGTTTGTCTTTCTATCAGAAAATCTAGACTGAAATTTCCATTATATTGAATGCTAAATCGCTCTTTTGTTTTCTCATTCAAATACTACCTGCAGAGATTACTGCATTCAGTGACCGTTACGCAGAGTTTGAAAAGCTAAACACAGAAGTATTGGGTGTTTCAATTGACAGTGTGGTGAGTTACCTATTCTACTGAGTGAAACATCAAAAAAACAAAAGTGGGGGTGATATTTAATTTAATGCATCAACTAACCTATGCAGATACATGAACTCATGCTTCCATTTGTGTATGATTTTAATTTTGAAGATTTTTAAAATGGAAAAATTACTTGAAAATGAATCAGTAAGAAATTTTCTATTTTGATTTTGGCATTGCCGGGCAAGTTGTTTGTTTACAACTTTCCACTTCCAAAGCTGCTGCATTTGACAAGAGTTCAGGCCTTTTTTCGTTGGCAGGTTTTGTTGAAGTTATAACTTATTAGCTAATTTGTTATTTTGTAAGGTATTAAACTTTTGCTCCTGAGATTATTAATGACTATATTGACTATTATTTTCCTGTGTTCATATAGTTGGATGATGTGCCTACTTCAGTATTTTGTACTTTAAATTCTTTTTATTTACTATAGGGAAAAATTTAAACTACTTGTTAATCCTGATGATCTCGTGTTCTCCTCTGTGTAGTTTTCACACCTTGCTTGGGTCCAAACAGACAGAAAGTCAGGAGGACTTGGTGATTTGAATTATCCACTGATTTCAGATGTTACCAAATCAATCGCAAAATCTTATGGAGTTTTGATCCCTGATCAGGTATTATGCATTTATAAATTGGTAGCAGCACATATGCATTTTTGCTTGATGGTTTAAATTTGCTGATGATCCTAGTTTTAATCTTTTGGCATTTTGTATAATTTTCATTATTTCTATAAATATTTCCTTCAGAATTTTTCATTTTAGAGTTTAACAGGTTAAGAAGTTTGATTATATGCATGCATAGCTCAAATGAGGAAATCAGCTTTTAAGTTTTTGGTGCATACTTCAGCTAGGGTTGGAAGGGGCACACCATAGTTTAAAGTTTTTGAATCAACTTCTTGAGTTGACATAATAGACTTTCTTAATGGATTTGCTAAGGCCGTACTTGATGAGGATTAAGATGAGAAGAAATTGGCATGTAACATTCTGCAGTGTTTTGGATATGCTTCTCTCCATGTTTTTTTAACATATCTTTTGTGAGTTCAAAATTGAATCCTTTTTTTCGGGTGGGATTACTTTTGGCTTTTTTTATTTGTTATATTGAAAAATACATATTTGTTTCGAGTTTAGATCAGGTTTCAAATTCTAACAAAGTCGGACAATAATGAGTAGGCATCAGGTCTAAGTTGTGTGTTTGAGCATCTGTAAGCTGTGTAGCTGCCACTAGTTCTGTCATAGAGTCGAATATTACTAGCTGTGCATCTGTGTTAAATTCTCTGGTGAATATTTTCGAAATTGTCTAAACCACTGACTGCTACTATCCAAATCACACATCTGTCTAGTGGCATAGGAATGTAGGGTTTTTTTAAAAAAAAAAGGCCTCAAAAACACTGAAAGAACTGCTATGATCTTAAGAGCTTGTATGGAAAGTTTATTTACAGGATATAGAGGATTAAAATAAGGCAATAGTTGATACAATCATATTTAGCAATTATAAACATGAATAAAATAGGATAAAGTTGAGTTTTTAAATCCCGTATAGCCCTAAAATGGACACTGATTATGTCCACAAGGTTTAAATTAATGATTTGGACGTGTGTATACCAAAATGATTGGACCTTAGCCTCTTGAGGTGAATTGGGCCATATGCCCAGTTCAGCAAAAGAAGAGATTTGGGCATGGAAGGGCATTCATGGGGACAAGATTTACTACAAGAATCTTGGCCTTATCCCTTTGGCTACCCTTTTAGGTCATATGGAAAGAAAATAGTAGAAGAGCTTTTAAGGGCTTAGAATGGTCTTTTGATAGATTGAAAGATTCTTTGTTTCAAGCCCTAGCTTTTTTGGTTAGGGGTCATCTCCTGTATTCTTGTGAAGATTTTGGAGGACTTGATTGACTTGTTAACAGAATTGTAAAATTTTTGTATACGGGCTACATCTCCTTGGTGCTTTTGATATCATTCTTTGTGTTTCAAAAAAAAAAGTATTCAAAAGTTATGTATTAAAACTTCAGTATTACAGAACCTTTAGTTGATGCTGGTTGTATTACAAATAGTTATCTGCTTGCTAATGAATTATATTGTTGTTAATAGATGCGACTTAAGATTTTGCTGGAACATTGTTGTATTTATATGTGGTTTATTTCAAAAGAAAAAATTATTGTATTTATATGTGGCGAAGACTGAGGAGGCATATATAGTTTTTTTGGGATTGGGGGATGATGTGCTGAGGTAAAGGCGGATAATAATCTTTTGGTCGCAAACAGTATTTCCTTTCATCAAGCAAACTGTCAATTTTCTAAACTTTAGGTTATCTTGTTCTCATCCAGCACTATAGCAGACATTGATTATGTCAGCACATCTTGTTGTGCATATCCATCTTCATTATAGCATAGAACTCATAATTAAAGTTTAATTTTAATGTCAGGGAATCGCATTGAGAGGATTGTTCATTATTGACAAGGAGGGAATCATCCAGCACTCCACCATTAACAATCTCGCCATTGGCCGAAGTGTTGATGAAACCTTGAGAACACTTCAGGTAAACAATATATGGAATGATAACACCATCGAATATACCTGGAGGAGTATATCTTTATTTACTAAGAGGACTGTTTGCGTTCTATATGTATATAGTCATTATAACCGCTTGTTGCACTTCCCATAGGCCTTGCAGTATGTGCAAGAAAATCCAGACGAAGTTTGCCCAGCTGGGTGGAAACCTGGAGAGAAGTCCATGAAACCGGACCCAAAACTCAGCAAGGAGTACTTTGCAGCAATATAGAGGACAATAGCCTATAAGGGGTTGTAAACGAGTTTTGTTTTATTGTAAGATGCTTCTCATTTGAATTGCAGTCATAGACGAATAAGTGCTTTCAGATGTTTTCCGTCCTATTTTCACTGGATTTCATTTAATGTAGTGAATTGTTCTTTTTCTCTACTTGTCAATATTATGAATCCTGATTCTATTAAAGCCAGAGGGCTTGGACGAGTGTCGGCTACTGCGCCAGAACTGAACTGAACCGAACCGAAGGATTAACAACCACTCTGAATTTATTGCCAAATTTGTTTTCTGATTAGGTTACAGTAGTAATTTTTTAAATTTCTTATTTTAATTCAAGTTAACGAATGGGAGGATTAAAAAAATATAATTTCTAAAATTATATAACAAAAACATGGTTGTTGTAGCATTCGGAAAGGAGGAGGAAAAAAAAAAAAAAAAGAGAGAGAGCCATGTCAGCAGGCCCGGTCAGCAGTCCCGCCAACCGGGGCCTGCCACGTGGCAAGACCACGTCGCTCCGAAAAGGAGCCACGTTGGCGATCCGCGTGGGTGCGATCCGACGGCCCAGATCAATCGCGCGATCGGACGGATCAGATTCAATCGCACGGACGGCCCAGATTCAATCAAAAACGAACGGCTCAGATTAAAACGAAATGGACGGCTGAGATCAAAAGGCAAGGGGTTATAAATAGAACCCCCACACCAGACCACAAACCCTAGCCGCCTGCCGCTCGCCGGAGAAGACGAACCAGAAGCCGGCCGCCGCCACCCGCCACCGTACCGGAGGAACTTCCGACCGCCGATCGAGGTAAATTTCGTACCCCCGACTCGTTTTTCTACGCTGATTCCTCCTGTGGCCAAATCGGAGCCAAAATTCCAGCCAAACGGCCGGAATACGCGGCCGAAGCCCAGCGGCGCCGCCGCGCCCCTTCTCGGTTTTTGCCTCCGATGAGGCCCTTCCCGGCCTCCGTTTGATGCAATTTTTATATCACCGTGATCACCATTCTTTTCTCTACAGGTTAACCGGAGCCGAATCACCAAAACACGAACCTCGCCGGAGAGCCGCCGCACCCGAGAGCGCCGCCGCCGGTAAGCTCCGTTTTTCCGTGATTTTTTGGCCCCCCGAGGGCCCTAGGGTTGTTTTCTCACAGGGACTGATGCGAGTGTGGCCGAATTCGGCCGAAAACAGCCAACCCGAGGCGACTCGCCGCCGTGCCGGAGTTGCGATTTGGGCCGAAAGAGGCCCTGGGCCTAATTTGGGTTTTTTTGGAACACGTGCAGGTACCAGTAGTGCGTTTCAGTTCCCCGAGGAAAATTCAGGAAAAATTTAGGGACAGCCTACAAGCGCACTGTGAAGCCGTGTTCGGATCCCGAAACGAGTAAGGACCCCTCACCCTATTTTCCTATCACGGTATTAAAGTTCAAAATGATAAAACGATATTCCTTGAATTAACGAATGTGTGAAATTGCTTAAGGTGGCTAATGGAGCCCGAGTCTAGTGTGATTGGTGATTTACTGTTATTTGGCATGTTTACAGCTTTAAATGCAAAATGAGGTTTGGTGTGTTCATTTTATAGATTTGTGTGCATATACTACGTTTTTATTAATCATGGGTTGAATGACTGAAAAACTGATACTGTATGTTGTCTGTTTGGCATGAATTACGATTTGCTTGTTTAAATGTGAATTGATGATGCTGACTGAGGAAAAGGAAAATGAAAGATTGTGTAGACTGATAATTGTATTATGGGGGTCAGCCTGACTAGATATCCTGGGAGATGGTGGACGGACCGGGTCCGTAGGGAACCCTACCGGGATTGTGGTCTCACATGCCGGACGGGGTATGGAGATCTTATGGTTTTGGCACCCATACCGGACGGGGTATGGGGACGGCCCGTTTCACCCTCATACCGGACGGGGTATTGAGGTTTATGGTTTTGGCGCCCATACCGGACGGGGTATGGGGACGGCCCTGGAAACTGATTATGAATGTTAAAGGTTAACGGGTAGCGGGACCCCTATGGACCCCCACGGATACTAGTAGGCTGGTAAATGAGAAAAAGATATGTTGTACAATGATTGAATTACAAGAGACGTGATAAGTGTTATGTTTTACAGCTTAGATTATTCAATGATTATGATAATGTTATTGTTTTTCTCATATTGTTTTCATAAATTCCACCAAGGTAAGTGGATGGTAAAGGTTTTCATGTTAATAAACGAGTTTGTTGTAAATTATGCTCCATTGGTCTTTTTGTGTTTTTCTACCCACCTTTATCTCCGTGACGGTGAGATATCGTGATGTTCTTACTGGGCTAGTGTAGCTCACTCCTTAATTAACCATTTCAGATCAGGAAGACATGGTTCCCGAGCCCGTTCCGCAGGAGGACGACGAAGGGGATGCCTAGAGACTCTGTAGTCATACGCATAGTTTATTTTCGAGTTTTCTTTCTTAGTTAGTTTAACCTTTTATATTTTAAGTACGTTTTTGGTTTTTCGTGTAAGGGATGTTAACTGAAATTTTGATCTCGCTTCCGCATTCGATATATTTAAATACTCATTTCTTTTTAATATTTTACGGGGTTGTTACAGTTGGTATCAGAGCCGCATTTCCTCGGACCCATCCCTTACACTATAGTCCTTTAAAGAAATACTCACCGATTGGTCGTTACTCAACCATTCCTGGTAAATGCAGGTACACAGAAATGAGGAGAGGAAGGCCCCCACTAAACCGAGCGGCCCAAGATAATTCGCTTCGGGAGGATTTGGACAGATTATATGAGATGGTGGAAGCTCTCGTAGCTGCTCAGCGAAGGCAAGAGGAGAGAAGGGAGTTACCCGGACCTCCTCCGCTAGCGCAGGTTGAGCCCCCGTTACAGCAGGCTGATCCCGAGCCACCCCGGCAGGAGCCTGTTCCTCCACAGTACCACCCGGCACCACAGCCGCGGTACGACCCGGTACCACAGCCACAGTACCAACAGGTACCGCCACAGCACATTCCAGTGCCCCCACCCCATCAGCAGGCGCCACCACAGGGTCCCCCAGTTCACCCTCAGCCGGGCCCCAGTCCCTCTACCTCGGGACCCGCTCCCTCCTTGATCGACCCCGGCTTCATAGAGAGGTACAGGAGACTGAACCCTTCTACTTTTTCAGGGGATCCTCTTTCGAAGAGGCCCAATACTGGCTGGCGGAGACTGAGAGAGCCTTTGAGACCTTGGGAGTAATTCCTGAGCAGAGGGCTGCCATTGCTTCCTACATGTTGGTAGGGGAAGCAGTACGCTGGTGGGAGCTCAAGCGGGCCACCCTGCCTGTACCAGTTACTTGGGAGCAGTTCCTAGCGGCTTTCCCATGCGGAGTATCTCCCTAAACACATCCAACATTTAAAGGAAATGGAATTTGCTCAGTTGGTCCAGGGTAATATGACAGTGTCGGAATATGCCCGCAAGTTCCTGGAGCTGGGCCGACATGCCCGGAGACATTGTTGGATGAGGGCCGAAAGGCCAGGAAATTCCAGTGGGGTCTCCGCCCGGCGATCAGACAGCACTTGTTGGTGATGGAGCTCGAGACATATTCGGCAGTCCTGGCAAAGGCGCAGATCATAGAAAGGAGCTTCGACACCCGCCCTCAGCTAGCGGGAAGTTCCCGACCTTCAGCCCCGCTCCGCAGGCCAGCGCCTACCATGCCTGTCCAACCCAGTAAGAGACCCAGGCCTGCCGCTCAGGGCCCTCCTCAGGCTATGGGGGCAGCTCGTGGGAAGATCTGCCAGTACTGCGGCAGGGATCATGGGGACCGACCCTGCTACCGCCTCAACAACACCTGTCGCATATGCGGCAGTGCCCAGCACTATGCGAGGGAGTGCCCTAGGAACCAGAATCAAGGGAGGCCTCCAATCCAGGGCAGAGTTTACAACCTTACCCAGAAGGATGCCGACGCAGACCCGGACGTGGTACATGGTATGTATACTATCTCTGGTCACATTGCTCATATTTTGTTTGATACTGGTGCATCACATTCCTTTATTTCACATGTTCTTGCTTCCAAAATTTGTGTATCACCTTATAGACTTGATTCATTATTGTTTGTATCCACCGCTGGGGGGGAGACATTACTAGGAGAGGTTGTCTACAGGGCATGTGCCGTGAAGATAGCAGATAGGAAATTGAGGGTAGACCTGATAGGGTTAGACACAGGGGATTTTGATGTGATCCTAGGAATGGATTGGCTAGCGGCGTATCACGCCACCATAGACTGCTTTAATAAAAAGATTGTATTTAATCCTCCCAACGAGGAGCCATTTACAAGTTAATAAAATTATTCGGTACTGATTCTCCCTAATGACAAATTCTTTTCTTCTTAATTCCCAGTGCGTTGATATTGTATTTTCCCTAACTAGGTAAACCCAAGAAGGAAGTTTGTATCCAAGAGATTCCAGTAGTCCGAGACTTTTCAGACGTATTCCCGGATAAACTGTCCGGTCTACCAGGGGACAGAGAAGTCGAGTTCACCATAGACTTACAGCCAGGAACCCAACCCATCTTGGTAGCTCCTTACCGAATGAGCCGCATCGAGATGGAAGAGCTAAGGAAACAAATCACTGAGCTACAAAACAGTGGCTTCATTAGACACAGCATTTCCCCATGGGGTGCCGGGGTTACTTTTGCAAAGAAAGGGGATGGAACGTTGAGACTGTGTATTGATTATAGAAGGATAAACAAGGTAACAATTAAAAACAAGTACCATCTTCCCCTGATTGATGACCTTTTTGATCAGTTGCAGGGTGCACAGGTCTTTTCTAAAATAGATCTACGATCAGGTTACCATCAGGTAAAAGTGAGAGCAGAAGACATCCCCAAGACGGCATTCCGGACCAGGTGCGGACACTATGAGTTCCTGGTTATGCCGTTTGGGCTAACCAACGCCCCGGCCATCTTTATGGATCTAATGAACAGAATCTTCAGAGAGTTTTTGGATAAATTTGTCATCATATTCATCGATGATATCTTAGTCTACTCAAAAAGTAGAGAAGAACATGTTCATCATCTTGCCCAAGTCCTCCAGGTACTCAGGGAAAAGAAGTTGTATGCAAAGTTGAGCAAGTGTGGATTTTGGCTCGAGCAAACCGCCTTCCTAGGACATGTTATATCGAAGGAAGGGGTGTC